AGTACTTACGTTGACACAGCGCCCTACTCCCAGAAGTCCATTTCTGTTAACAATCTCCTTCAAAACAAACTCTGTACGATTCAACTGCCCAATTCCCGTTAGAACACCTGTTAGAAGATAATAGAAAAACTGTAGGCCGCTTATTTAGTACCGACCGAAAACTGCTCCATTTTTCTCCACGTTAATCTTATTCTTCCCATGGTAATCAACATAGATTGAAACAGCTGGAGAAAATATGAATTCCCTGGAACAAATATAGTTCAATTCATGAAACAGAGACAAGACAGAGAGTGAAAGTTTAAAAACAAACTTGAAGAATGTACTGCCTCGCGTTGATTCGGATGGCTCGGGCGTGCATTGGTGCTCGACTGAAGAGCCGGCCATCTGCGTAGAAGTTTCCTCATCACAAATCGTAGACTTGAATGGTGCACATTAAGCAGTGAAAAGAAACAAAACAAAATAGTTCTACCCTATCAGCGTCATTTGAACAATCAGCTATGTCGCTACTAGTGTCCACAAGATCTTCGCTAATCGCTGCGGAATCTACATCATGTTCTGGTACAGAGATGGCGGGGTGGAAAGAGTCATGTAAAGAGGAGCTGAGCATTCTATCCACAGAAGGATCTGGATCAGTAAATCTGTAAAGATTGAAACTTGGTTTAGTAAAAAATAGATAATGATAAACTACAGAAGCTTTACAATAGTAACTTAGTGCACCTGATTCCGCTATCGCAACTCCAGTCTCCTGCTAGGTGCAAGTCATCGTCTGCCAAGGGCTCGTCTTCGGTAGAGATGTCTGCTCGGATGAGGTCCGGGCTACTCGACTGAAACATGTGAGATTTTGTGGGATACTAGTCGACATACCCTCCGACCGCCCCTGTCAACACCAACAGTAATAGCCTACGGCACTACTATGCTCCCCGCCTCGTATATGTATGCAAAGTTTGATTCGGATTGGTTCAAAAATGAAAATCTGTATTCTGCACTACGTACATACATACAGACCGAAGACAGACAAATAGTATAGAAGGGTTACCACTTAGTTATTCTACTTACTTGAGGGGATAACTCCTCCACTGGCGGTATCTTCGGCGTGGCACGCGATCTTGTTGCAAAGAGGTCGCCTGAAAACAATGAGCTTATATTCCGAAGTAAACTTATAAGGAAGAACAACCTATGGATACTGCTGAGGCAGTGAGAGGCGCATCGGCAAGAGGTCTTTTGACAGGTGACTCTGGTTGACTTCGATGCTCCAGGTAAGACAGATCATCTGTAAAGGATAAAATTTTTGAAGTACTCAGAGATAAAGATACGCACAGATAGGTGATGGTGCAGCTTCAGGAGTTAGTACATCTAGATTCACCAAAGCATCGCTATTCAGAGAAGGATAAATATGACTTGATCGCATGTCAATGTCAATGTCTCTCGAAGACACGGAAGCCGGCACTTCCAAGACAGGCCTCGCAGAAATCGCATCGGACACTGAAAATTACCATCAAAAGAGCATGCCTATTGCAAAGTTGAGGTGCTACTACCTTCGTTAGGCAGATGCACGCTTGTTCGAACTTCTTGGAAGAAGTCGTCCAGGAACTCCATGGTATCTTGATCAATATTGAACTTTATGGGCAACATTGAAACCTGAGCGAATATTGAGGAATACTACACCACACAAAATGAACACTTGGGCGCTTACCCTCATTTTTCCTTCGGATTTGTGGGATTCAACCATTCTCACTGCCAACATAGAAGCACAAGTTCTACGAGGTTGCTCAGCAGACGAATACTGAAATGCAAATAAGTAAATATATTAGTTTCACAATCGGTTACGCATCACTGCTACCTGATACATCATTTCCTTGATCTGGCTAGCTGTTAGTTTGTCAAACAGGGTTATATCATGAATGGTGAACAATTTCATGGACATGAGAGGTGCGTCCTTATTGAAAAGTTGGTATATGCAAGT